CCACCAGGTAGCTCCTTATATGATGGAGTTATAAGAAAAGAAGCTGGAGTTGATATTTGCCTCCTAAATAGCATTGCAGTCCTTTAGTGCCAATTAACAGCAGAAATTAGTTACAAAAGGAGAATTTAAAAAGTTTTGCTCCTAGGTTATTAAAAATTAGAGCAAAATGCATTAGGGGAGGCATTTTGTTACCTTAATTTTTACTGATTATTGTTTCAGTTGTGGGAGAGTCAGTGAAAACATATTGCAGGTCTTTATGGCTGTTGTATACATTTTTAATAATTTTTCAGGAAGATTTGTGGGGGGAACATAACCATGATTTTTCTTTTAATTATGTTTTTCTTTTCTTCTTATTACTAACAATATATTTTGTGGGAACATATTTCAGGTTTGTGTGTCTGTTGTAGAAACTTCTGATAATTTTTCAGGGAGATTTGTAGGAGGAAATTAAGTGTGGGGAGGCTTTTTTATTTTTTTTTCTTCTTTTTGATAGCATAACAGGTAGTAAGAAATTCCACAGGGAATGAATACTTGCTGAAGAACTTTAAAGGTGCCTTATATAATATTCATTCACGTTGGCCTCTTCCCGTGGTGGGAGCACTGATAAGGAAAATATAAATTAACAGTAACACTGTTGCTATCTCTAAATTACATCCTAAAGGTGCACCGTGACAGGATAGAAATATGCAAATCTGTTCAGGAATTAGTATTTGGCAGCAGAAATGTGAACTGGAGCAGCTCACTGTCCTCCAGCTACACTGGATTAAAATATCCTGGCTCTAATCAGTGTTGCCCGAGTTATCTGTGTACTTTGCAGCCAAAAGGAAGGTGTGTAACTGGTGTTTTTTAACATCCCAGCTAATAATTTATACATTAGAGAGAACAGTCTGCTTATTTATGGGTTCTTCTAGGCAGCAGGTGTTTGCAAACACTGAAGGGAACTGGGTGGAGTACAAAAAACCCGGGTTAAACCCCTGTTAAACCACTGGAATTCGGTGTGGATGGCGAAAGTTAGATTTGCCACTAGGAATTCAAATATCTGTATAGAAGAGAAAGAGGATTTCAGTTTTATGAATTAGGTAGACAGCTGGTGCTAATCATGGGGAGATAATTACAAGAGTTAATTATGTAAGCTGTTATGATTTATTGGGTAAGGACAGTGGCAGATTAGTCAAGTTGATGGAGAAAAGTGAAGAACTGTTATTATCAAAAAACTGAGTTATATTATGGACTGAACCATGCTCAGCAGAACATCTGTGTTCACACTTTTAGTGGTGTAATAGGGAAAAAAACCCCATTTTTTACATGGTGCTGGAGAATAAGCACAAATATGGAAAAAACCCAAGTTATCTGCTTCCCTGCAAAAATATGGAAAAAATCCCAGTTAACTTGGATTAACTGCTTTTCTGTTTTGTATGTGAATGAAGAAGTAATTGTTGAGAGCATTTTCTCCTGTGTTTTGCTCAATAATACCTTGGAGTTGGATGAGGATCAGCTAATGAACCACTACTGAGAGCCACATCACAAAGTCAGTCTCTGGTGTGCAGAGCCAGGAATATTTCAAGTTCCACACGTGTTTGCTCTGCTTCTGGATGGTCAAAATGAAGAAGGTCACAAACATGACAGTGCTCAGGTCTGCTCTCTGCCTCACTTTGAGCAAGGAATTGAATCTGGTGCTGCTGCTTTAACCCATAACACAATCTGCTTCTCTCACAAAGTATTTTGAAAGGTCTCTCCTTCATCCTGATGCCGGAGGAGACAAAAAAGGCAAATCCAGCCAAGAAACAGTTCGGAAAAATGAAGAAATAAAGTTCTTGTTTTCCAGACAGTTGTAGTGATTTATTTTTTTTTTTTTTTTGATGTAACAAACTTCCTCTGGAGACAGGAGGGTTTTGAAAAACAGTGCTCAGGGGGATCCCATTAGTACAAGCAGTGAGGCAATGAGGGAGTGCACTCGAGTGGAAGGGCAGCCTTATATCTCGAAGTGAAAGGGCCCAAACACTGAAATGTCAGGGCTGTCTTTCCTGAGCTCATTGAGTGTGTTTCCAGCAGCTGGTGATATATGAGTGTATGAGAAGAGAGGAATAACTTGTAGCTCTTCACATTCAGGAAATGCCATTGGGAAGAACAAGTAATACTTACTTAAAAATACAATGTGCATATGGGAGAATAGTGAATATTTTTTTTTTTTTTTGCAAATAGTTAATGATATTTCAGAGAAACCCTTTTATGCTGATTTCACCTGTCACAACCAAACCAAAATATTTGTGTGGATGGTTTTCATCAGGTACACGTTTGCAGAGTTTTGTTTGATTTACCTGCTTTGATTTTTTAAAAACAAAGAAACATGTAAATGCTGCCTACCCTCAGAGAAACTCCAACAGCCTCTGTCATTGATATTTAAAAATTGTAGAATCACAGAATGATTTGGGCTGGCAGAGACCTTTAAAGACCATCTGGTCCAGTCCCCCTGCCATGTGCAGGGACATGTTTCACTTGGATAAGTTGCTTAGAGCCCCATCCAACCTCACGTTGAATATGTCCAGTGATGGGGCATCCACAACTTTCTGGGTAACCTGTTCCAGGGTCTCACCACCCTCATAATCAAAAAACCTCAACTTCCTTATATCTAATCTAAATATAAATCTCTTTTAGTTTAAAGCCATTCCCCCTTGTCCCATAACTCCAGGCCCTTGTCCAGTCCCTCTCCAGCTCTCCTGGAGCCCCTTTAGGCCCTGCAAGGGGCTCTCAGCTCTCCCTGGAGCCTTCTCTTCTCCATATGAACACTCCCAGCTCTCCCAGGCTGGCTCCAGAGCAGAGGGACTCCAGCCCTCAGAGCATCTTTTTGGCCTCCTCTGGACTTGCTCGAGCAACTCTGTGTCTTACCTGTGCTGGGCACCTCAGAGCTGGACTAAGTGCTCCAGGTCTCACAAGAAAGAAGTAGAATCACATCCCTTGACCTGCTGGCTGGACTTTTGCTGCCACCCAGGATCCAGCTGGCTTTCTAGGTTATAAACTCACATTGCCAGGACATGTCTAATTTTCCATCCACCAGTATCCCCAAACCCTTCTCCAAAGGGCTGCTCTCAGTGCTTTCACCACCCAGTCTGTACTGAAAAGATGATAACAAGGCATCTGTCCTTTGTGAGGGATCAGTGAGAAACCACAAGGATCAGCAGTATAATTAAAAAGAAAGGCATATTGCTATTTTCCTCAAAAATTGTCAACATATGTATATTTTTTAATGTGGTTATGGAAAATCTTGAGTAACTAATGCTATTCGAGCACCTAATTAGGAAAGAGAAGGCAGGGGGAGAATAACAACTCTTCAACTTGTAGCCCACCCACTTCAGAAATCTGTGGGGAAGACAGTTTAATTCACAGAGCCAGGAATGTTCTTCTCTGAGCTGGAGCTGCTGACTGGGGATTAATTTGATGAGTGTGTGATTCAGCTCTGTCCCCTTTCACTTCAGGCATCCCTGCCCACACGTGACCTCTGCCATTGGGAAATCCATGCTAATAGAATTTTCTGCTTTCAGCAAAGGCATCCTCACCTTCCTTTTGTGCTGCTGGGGCTGTGCAAGGAAACCTTAATTCGGGATGGGACTGAACTATTAATTAGTGAAGTTCTGTTTTTCCAACAGAGATCTGTGCTAGGGCTGTGTGAAGCTTCTTTAATAAAATAAGAGAGCAAGGTTCCCTAGTGTGATCACAAAGCCTGGATCATTACAGGGTTGCCAAATGAGCTTATGGTAATTTTCAAGTGATATATTTGATAATTGTACGGAATTTTGGGTGAGGTCTGCATGAATTAGTTACAGAAGCTGACAGAGACATTCTGTCCTTTGTACCAGTATAGGTGGGGTAAGATATTTAAAATAAACCAGTTGACTTTAAAGCCCTGCCAGAAAATTGAGTTATGCTAATAAGATATTAGGTTTGGGGGTTTTTTTTCCCATTTTTTCATGCAATTTTTATGAAGCTCTAGGTCGTTGGCTTTTTAAAAATGGGAAAGTAGCTAATATACCATGGGTTTTTCTGTCACTGGTACCAAAAGACTTCCTCTTCCTCATTCTTACAGTGAATGTGTGGCTTAGGGCACCAGTACATCACTTCAGCTGTCCTGGTTTGTGTCCTGCATAGGGAGAATTGGATCTCTGAGCATTATGGATCCATTGCTATTTTTTCATGCATTTAACACCCAATGATACCCAGTTCAGTATTCCTGTTTTACAGAGGGCAGCCTTTCACTGCTGGAGTCCTGCAAGATTCCTTTTTGGTCCAGCCAAAAGCTGTGGTACCCCCCGTGCTGTGTTGTTAAGCTTTGTGGTTTAAGTTTCTAATCAGTTTACTGACAGCTCAGTAAGGAATTCCTTTAGGAAGCAGATTTTCCTTCTGTTTAAATCCTGACAGGATGTCGCTGTCTGCTGTGGTCTTACCCCAAAAAGTTAGAAATAATGTAATATTGTAAGCAATGTAATAATGTAAGCAACGCTTACCCAAAGAGTTTGAACCTGAATAATCTTTGCAGCAGGAGCTCTTCACACCTTAATGCCTGGAAAACAGCCACGATGTTTTTGTCACCACCTCCATGTCCCTGGCAGTGCTTATCTCGAGGGACAATTGATTTCTGAGTGGTTTCTGACCCCTTGTGTGTTCACTATCCATTTTATCAGCTTACTCATTTCTAAAAAATGATAAACAATGACAAAAACGATGCTTTAGCACCACTGCCCTACCATACCTGGTTCTTATCTTTTTCTTTTTGCTGCTTGGCTGTGATTTGCTCAGCCCAGACTGAAGAGAGGTTGAAGGGAACCCCCTTTTTTTGAGGGCTGTGCTGCTGGATCTCGTACTTTTAAATTTTATTTATTCAATACATGTGACCACTACATCCCTTCCAGGGAAGAGACAGCAGTGGTGTTAATTGAGTTAGGTGATCCTATTAGCAGTTGGAGAATCACTCAGACTGACAAAAATCTTGTTTTTCTTGCCCAAAGGTAACAACACTCGTGAACACGAGCAATAAGGGCCCGTCTGGCAAGAAGAAAGGGCGCTCTAAGAAGGCTCATGTTTTGGCTGCCTCAGTGGAACAGGCCACTCAGAACTTCTTGGAAAAAGGAGATCAGATTGCTAAGGAGAGCCAGGACCTCAAGGAGGAGCTGGTTGCTGCTGTGGAGGATGTTCGAAAACAAGGTATGTGGGACAAAAGGGGCAACAGCTTCGTTTGGTGCTTTCCAAGATTTCTTTTGAAAAAAAATGCATCAGATGCTTTGATAATTTAATTAAACTTATGTCCCATATATATATATATATATAAGCCCTCATGGTATATAAATATTAAAATACCTATACCTTAATGAATAGGAACAAGTATAAACAATGTTCTGATTTTGCTAAAACAATGTATTTGGTTTGTTTTTTTCTCTTTTAGCTGTTCTGTCACCACATAGTGGCCTCAAATATAACTTAGCAGCCAGGCTGCCCAGTACCAAAGCTTATTGTTTCATTTTCAACTTGGTTTTTAGTCTGGTCTGTGAGAGAATGACCTGTTTTTTCACTTGGCTAAATCTGAGCAGTGGTTTAAAGCCTGTGGGTGCAAATGTAGAATTAGGATTTTGGCATCCTAACAATTATCAACCAAATAGTGCAGCAATACAGAAGTACTTTTTAATTTCAAGTATATATTGAAATATATAAAAAAATTATCCAAATCTGCAAATAGAGGGCTAATATCAATATTTAAAAAAAATTATTATCTGAGTGTTGGTGAAAAGACAAATTAATATTCTTGAGATCATGGATATCCTCTGACAATTTTCCTTCAAAAGGTAAAATGTGTATCAGATGCTTTCAAATTTACCTGTGTGGTAGGAGAAAAATGTGTTTTCAATACATACCCATAACAAAACATTTCTTTTTTATTGACTTTGATTCTAATTATCTTTATTGTGGCAGAATTAAGTACCTTTCAGGTTTATTCCATTGTAAATCCTATAATATAAAGATGCCATCTGCCAGTATCATCAGCCCTGGGTTTTAGAACAAGACTGACACACCTCCAACTGGGATTTCAAAAGGAGTCTAAAAGACTTGGGCATAAAATACTGATTTTCAGTGAGTTAGTCCCCCAAAACTCATATTTATGTTTTTTTCAGCTTGTGAAAATTGGACTGAAGTGATCATATGAGCAGGCAGGGTTAAAATTTTGTGTGCATAAGCACTGATTAGTGAATATTCCAGCCTGTTCTGTCCTGAGGCTGTTTCTTCCTCCTCTCTGCTGTATGTATATTTGGTTTTACTGTTTTCGTGTTCCTCTGTGGTTTGGGGTTTTTTAAATGTTCAGTTACCAGTACATCAGAACAAGATGAATGCTTGTATACTCTATGTACAGTGATATTTCAATATTCTAACGGGGTTTTGTTGATTCATTTTTTGGGGTGGGTTTTGTTGTCGTGATGGTGGGGTTTCATTTGTGTTTTTTTTATGTAGAATTTCAGTGCTGATACCTAGCTGTTCTGGCATTAATTTTCACTTGTCAACTACTTCAGTTTCCTGTTGCTTGCATTACTTGTTTTGTGTTATGCCAAGTTCTAGTTCAGCATCTTCAGTGCTGATACGAGTGCCCACCTTCTCTCTGAATTTATAACACTCCCTTTGGGTCTGTGGTGCTGACTCAGCTTCTCCCAAGGAACCTCCTACTGAGTCATCAGCCTAAATTGTTGCACAGTGTCTTATCTTGACTGAATTTCTGACTTTTTAATTGACAACAAGACTTTTGTTCTCTTTGGTTTCGAATCTATACTTTAAAAAAACCCAAACAACAATGGGAGAGACAGAGAGATAAAAAAAGACCTTGAACGGTGTTATACAGAGTAATACAGACGTTCATCTTTTGTCAGCGCTGCAGGCTGGGGAAAAAGCCTGTCAGAAAAGTGGAGCAGCTTTTTTTTTTGGGTGTGTTCAACACGATTCTGTGGCTTGGAGAGCAGGAGGCACCAAACCCCATCAGCAGCAGCCACGAGCCCTGCGAACGGGACCGGCCCCGCCGGGGTGGGAGAGGACACGTTTGGCTCAGTGACATAAAGAGCTGGATTAATGAACCGAGGCTGTGTTTTGCTGGCTGATTTCCTGGCAAGCTTCCAGCTTGGATAATTACATCCTCAACCTAAAAATGTCTCCAGCAGTCACAGCTGGCTCTGGGGTGCTCCTCGTTTCCTGCCCTGTGCTGCCGTGTGCTGTTCTGTTCTGTTCTGCTGCAGACAGCAATTCCTGCCAGGGAGACTTGCTTTCCATTGATGGGTGTGAAACAAATGCACTGTATGGTTTGCAAAATACTTTGGAATAAATGGGAATGCAAAGGATAGGTAGTGTTGAGGATCTTGTCGCTTTAATAATGTGGGAGGATGAGCAACAGTTTTGATTTACGGAGTTGGGTTCTAAAAACACAAAGAGCAAGATGAAAATATTTTGTGCCTAAAGCTCATCCCTGTGTAATTATGTGTATTTATGTATCCCATAATGACTCCATAATAGGAACACTTTGTCCTTATAGTTCAAAACCATCTAAGTGAAATAATCCAATTGCTGTGCCATGGAGTGCTTTGCTGTGTGGGTGTTTGTTCTGGTACTGTCAGGGTTGTGCCAAAGTTCTTCCAGAGGGGGACAAATGAGACCTGGGAAATGTGGATGTTTGTTGTTCATGTCTCCTTACACTGGGGTTGGAACTAGGTGATCTTTAAGGTCCCTTCCAACCCAAACCATTCCATGATTGTATGAGCATGAACCCTGAAACTACAAAGCCTGGGAAGTGCAGGAAAGTAAAGAAGAACTCATAGCAATAAAAAGTACAATACTTGCAACACTCATAGTATGGGTGTCTTAATGCAACTGGTCTTTTATTGATCGTTAGAGAAGAAGAAAACTCCCCGTGGAGGAGAAATTCAGGTTCTGATTGACACAAAAATCTATCAAGAACTGCAGGTCCATCGGGCTCAGGTCTGATTAAATTTATTAAGAGACAGTCTGGGATGCTGCAGAAGGCAAGACAAGGAAATACATTATGTTCATGTAAATTTATTCTATCAGTAAAATGACTTTGCCAGTGTCTATTTGTAGGTATGTGCTAGTGACTGTCTGATTTTAATGTAATTTTTCTGGAAGTTTTCTGGCATATGGCTGAAACATCCATTAAAAACATGATTTCCTTCAGCAGCTGGTGGTTGTGTTATAATTTTTTTTGCTTTTCAAGCACAGTCAATACAACTTCACACCATAATTTGAAATTTATACTTCAGTCAAGGGACAGAAAATAGCTCTAACTGTTTTTTGTGTTTGAAGGCACTGTAAAGTTGAGGTAGGCTTCATTTTTTGTTCATGCAGATTTATGCACGTTGTAGAGAAAGAATATGATCCGTGTACTCTGTGAGTATCTGTGAGCTTGGAAGTGTGGAGAAACATCTGAGACACAAAACTTTCTTGGCAATTTTTTTCTCTGTGATAGAACACACTAAAAATAATATTTTTAGTGCTTCAGTGCTTTTAGTTATCTACTTTTGAAAACTTTTTAAAGGATGATTTTAAAATAAATCCTGTAAAAGGTCTTCTTCCTTACTTCTTCCCTCCTGTCTCCTTCAGTGACCTTGGGAAAAAAGGAGGGAATCTGCATCTCTCAGGTGGTGGGAGCAGACTCCAAAATACACATATGAGAGAAGCTCGTTGTTATTAGAATGATTTCTATTGCTATTTTAAGTTCACTTGAGCTCTTGTGATTTCAATGACAGCACTTTGACACGGAGAGGGGCACATTCTGCACTGATACTTGTAATGCCATGTACGTTCACATAAAACTGTCTGAGTTTTGTGATACACAATATTTTTTTTGAGGCTGAAAACATCACCCCAGTTCAGGCAGTTTGTATTTTAGGAGACCTTTCCTGATTTAATCATTTTCTTTCAGTCAGGCCTTGTTGGACCAGCAGTTCCTTCCCAAACCCCCGTCCTTGCAGTTCCACGTTATCCCAAGTCTTTAACACTCACTGCCTGGAGGTCTTGGCTTTCCTGACCGAAGAATAAAATCCTTGATGGGATTTTGCCTTCCTTAAAACTTTTCCACTCTCTTTAGAATCTCTTTGGACTTTTGGTTTCTGCCCTCTAATGAATTCAGTTTTCTTTCTTAACTGCATTAAAAAACTGCAACCACCTCAGTTTCCCAAGGAGTCCCTGCTGCTCTCCTCTACTCCTTTCCCTCTCCTTTTCTTTGCTATCTTTGTGTCATTAGACACTTGCTTTGTCTGCCTTGCAACTTGGAATTTCCTTGAAATTCTGGAATTTCCTCTGTCTCATGGTGTCTCTCTGTCTCACATTCCCTGTTAACCCTTCTCACTTGTCTCCTCATACCCTCATCCTGTCTTCATGTGAGGTCCTTCTTGTCTCTCATGTTCAGTCATGGTTTTGAAATGCAAAGTAGAAAATAAAAATAAAAATAAAATGTCTTTCCCTTCTTGTTTTTTTTTTCCTCTCTTTACCTTACAAACTTAATGTAACTTATTTGTTGTCCTTGTTTTCTGTACCAGCAGATCATACTGCTCTCTGAATCCCTCCCTGGCCCTGGGAACCTCCTTCACACTTCTGTTAGCCCATCTTTCTGATTGTACTTAGTTTTGTCTATTCTGTCCCTTTTCCCACTGGATTTCCTTCCTTTATCTTACATACATTTAAGTCCAGGGTATGAGCATCTTCTTACATAGCATGTTATGCCTTCAGATCTACTTTCTTAGGAGAGTCATCTACCACAGACTTCCCAGGATTTACCCAATCTATTCTCTCTGCTGTCCTTTTGACTTGTAAAAAAAAGAAAAAAAGAAAAAAGGAAAAAAAAAAAGGGTTTGTACCCAATAGTATCTAAAAGCTTTCCTGGAATAGTTTGGGTTTAACATTTAAAATACAAATAATCCATTCCTCTGTGGTTCACTTGGTTAATAAGAATTCAGCTAATGGCTGTGGTTTGCCCTCTCTGTCTCTCTGCTACTCCTACAGCATTTTTTCCTAGTTTATAAAATATATAGAAGTCAAATTACTTCATGAGGGTGTTTCTGTAGAAGCCATTAAAAGACTTGTAAAAATACAGCTCTCACTTGAGGTGGGAAAGGAAGAAATTCTTTTTACAGAGAAAGCAAACGATGAAGTATTGTCTG